TTTTTTTTTTTGAACAGTCAACCAATTCACTGGTGATACACCTCCACCTCTATTCTCCAAAAAACCCCACTTTGGACGGTTTAGAAATGGAACCTAAATCACGGAAATCTGTTCATATCAGCCAGATTCTTTTGTTTATTCAGCTTCCCCAGGCTCTTTTTACCCTTTTTCTAAAACGTGGTTTCTGTTTCACACATGAGGGGAAGATGGGAGGAAAGCACCAGAAGGCATGGGTGTGTGTGGACCCATGTGCTGCCCACCAACCATGACCCGATGAGGTCTTGCTAAGCCTTTGGGGCTCCACCTCTCGTGCACGGCTGCACCCATTACATATGACCAGTACCCATATATGTTTGTGTTCTCACGTCATTGACTAGGAATTCGTAAAATCAATAATCCCACGATCGTATTCGGTGCAGAGAGGCGAATAATGTAAACCCCCCAACTACCCTCTTATTTATTTTTTTTAAAATTTTTTTTCTTTTGCTTTTGGCAAAGTGAATCAAGTGATATGTACATAACCTTAACTGCATAGGGTTTTAGTGAAAAAGTGAGATGATTCAAGCGTCCATCAAGTTTCTCTCAAAATGATAACCATTTTGAAAACACGGCCATTAATTTCTTGAATTTTCAGTATAACCAATTCTGCTAGGAAAACTTTCCAGAGAAGATCATGCATGACATGATCATTCAAGTGTCAAAAAAATAAGGCATGGATAAAGAGATAATGTGGCTAAGTAATTACCATAAATTTCAAGCTTTCTCTTTCATTGCCGGCAAACGGAACTCGTTTTCAAGATATCGACTTCATCTTCTTTTTTAAAAAATAATAATAATTAAATTTCCAATCAAATTAAGTTAGGAGAATTATGTTGAAAAGAGAGAAGAAATCCACTCCAAATAATAATTAAGCAATATCAAGGGTTCAATTCAAACATCAAATCTCTAGAGGTCCACACGGCAATGTTCAACAGTCATCTCAGCTTTATTATATTCCTAGTTAGTAACTTCAAGAACATCAATTACGCCAAAACTTTTGATCAATGAGATATTTGGGGTGCTTCCTCTGCAAGTTCCCTGATAATGATATGCATTGATCCTCTAATTACCGTTTACTTTTGAAGCAAGAAATTAACAATTATGAATGCTCATGCATGCATTATCGCAATTTAAAAGTTGATAAAATGAAATGATTATTAATTTGAGGCTGGTGGACTAATTGTTAATGGAGTTTGCTTCTCACTTTATGGATTAAAATCAAATTTTTATGAGACAAATAAGAAATAATTTCTAATGTATTCTTTAGTAACAACAGTGATGATCTACTCTTAATAGGTCTTGAGGTGTGAACTTAGTATATCATGTAAAAACTAACTCATGATATTAGCCGATTACTACTAAGAAATTGAAATGATTATGTGGTTGTCTAATTTATGCTTTTTAGGTTTTTAGGTTAAAAGTGTAATAGTTGAATTTTTTTATAACTAATTTTTATTAAAAATTATAAAAATTGATATTTATTTTAACATTATTAAGATGTAAATGATTTTAGTTTGTTATGAGTAATTGATTAAATCAAATTCAACATTTATATTTTTCATGCAAATTAATCATAAAAAAATATTAATTATATATTTAACCAATGCCTTAAAGGGAGAAAATAAAAAAACTGAATAATTATTAGTAGCAATGTTTTTAAATTCATCCAAAGAAAGGAAAGCTTTTAATTTCCCGGAAATTTCCTAACTTCATCAAGCCTCGTAATCCTTTACCTAATAACTTTGAAATATATATCATCAAATTGATTTTCAACTACCGGCCTAGGCACTCAAAATATTGTCAATTACTATTATCAAAGGATATATGTACATCGCATCTTGTTTCGCGATATGCAAACTTTTGAAAGAGACGAGGGTGGGTCAGATTTTGAGAAGAATTTCAATTTTGTAATTAAACCACATGAAGGTATGGTCTTTTGAACAATTCACTAAGTTTTGTTTTATTCATTACGTTTCTTAATTTATGTCTGTTTCAACAACAGCAATACAAACAGCATCCGCATTAAGTATGCCTACATGATACACATATTAAATTCAACCCAAAAAAAAGAAAAAACCGAGAACTGTAGCACGTGGAAACGTAACAAGACAACATCAATCATCGATGTCATAGGTTGCATGATATAATTATAATAATGACTGCCACAATTTGTATCTATTATGCAGTCTTGTTGGGGTTACCATGCCCTATGCGCGTTGAGTGGTTATTAATTTATGCGTATTGAATTCAAGTTTCAAGAGGGGTATGGGGGAGCTACAAAAGTAGACAAGAAGAGGGGTATTCGATCCCTCTTTTGATGTAAAATTAAAGATTCGCTTGCAGTTCCATGACTATTGAGTACCCATTTGCCTTGTGAACTTGGTCATCTGTGGCAGCTGAACTTGCGCCATGCATTGCGACTCTTCGTTTTGTGTGTATATATAAACATATAGATATGATTAATTAATTTCTCAAGACGATTACTCCTAGCTAGTTCGAAAAAGAAAAAGGGGAAATGAACTAGCTAGCTAGGTAGAATTGGTTAATGTGACCCCATACGATATGTCAGGCATACTTCGCAATTGTATTTGTATACATTGGAGACCGACACACGTAAGTCATGTGAAAGTGTCCTCATGCCACTTTTTCAATGTTCTTTAGTGTAACCCCACATCAAAGCAAGAAATTTTGCGTCTCCCTGTACCTTTGACTGCAACGATAAATCAAGTCTTGTTTGTTGTGAGGCCAGAGTGGCCACGAACAGCTGCAGCACTATCCTCTTAAGAAAACACATGGAACCACCACCACACTTGTTTTGAATTGGAGGGGTTGGCTTTTTTAAAGGTATGCAATTGATGGAGTGGAGGAGATGCAGATCTGCTTTTTTTTAAAAAAATAATAATAATAACCATTTCAATCCTAGTTTGTTTCCTTGAAGATCACTTTTCTTTCCTCTTCCCCACAACCTTGACTAGATTTATGCCCGTGGGAGACTATATACCATAATTGAATTTGAAAGCAAGTCACACCTTTTCTCCAAAAGAAAAAAAATGACTTCAATAATTGGAAGGGGTTATTCATTCTTCATTCACGTGAAAGCTTTACAACGAATTTAAGTTTAGCAAAATGGGATTCTTGATTAATTAATTAAAAGAAAATCATTTAACACAAATTTTTTTTTAAAAAAAGAATAAAGAATAAAGAAGGAGAAAATCTTTTCATTTCTTTTTATTTCCTTCAAGAAGAATGCTGTCCCATTGTCTAATCATCTAAAGCCCGCGATAATTATCTCATGTTGTTATTAACAACTTAATTTTAAGTTAAAAATTTTAAATTTAAACTTTAAAATTAATAATAAAAATTTACTAAAAAATAAAAATTATGTTTTGTTCTACATAACCCATCAGCTTATATGTATTATAAAAATATCGTCTGTTCTTTTTATGAATGGTGAAAACTTCTTGATTAGGTGGAAGTATATTGCCCTATACTAATCTGCCCCTCAAATGTTGCCGTTCAAAAAATAAAAAATAAAAATCTGTCTTTATCAAAGGAGAACGACGTAATTTTCACGAATCATAGGATCAAATAAAATTACTACAGGGGAAACATCATGGCAAAGCTGATTCTATTCTTTTTTATTATTATTATTATTATTATTAATTTTTTGATATTCAGTAATCACATTAAATCTTAATTAATTTAAAATTGAATCATGTTGAATCCCATTAAAAAGGTTTCAGCATCTGTTTCTCTATTTATAAGATTTAAACTCAAAATATTATTTAAAAAAAATCAAACTCTTTCTATTTAAATCAATAAACTATTATTGTTCCTACTTTTTCTTTCCACCCCCTCCCCCAAAATAGCTGGTTTTTGGTCTTCTCTCCTCTTTGTAAAATAATAACAACCATATTTTACGTACAAAAATAATTAGACTGGAAACAAAGCCATGTGCCCTATTGCTCGCATCATACGTAGCTGCAACAGATCTACAGTGCGGTAGGTTCAAATCTTTGAAATTAAAATCATAAGATATGTCTAACGATTCAAAGTTAGTGGAGATTGACCACACTTGTTAGAGTGGTGACTTTTTGATATTAATTGAAGTGACTTGAGGTGAAATTTATTATTAATTTAATAATTTTTTGAGTTAAATTCTTGAATTTTAAATTATTAATAATAATTAATTTTTATATTTATATATTAAATTCACATGTAAATTTTTATTGGTATGGAATTCGAGGTACTATGCTAACATATATCTGATGATTCAAAGTCAATGGAGATTTCTTCTGGTACTTATGACCAGTGTATTCCATTTTAGCGGTCTGATTTTGGTTGTTCGTTTTAATTATTTGTTAATTTGGCCACTGAGAAAATTATGCCATTATAGGGATGTTTTCCCCATTAAAATAATGAAATTTCTTCTTTTAAGTTTTTTTTTTTATCTCATTGTGTAATCGTATAATAATTATATAATATTAAATAAACAAATATAAGTGGTAGTGAACCATATTATTAAATGATACAATTGTGAAACTTGATAGGTGAAAAGAACCAATCACAATTACAAACACATATGATGTAAGATTTTATTGTAAAATAATAAGATTGTGAGTAAATATATAGAAGCTTCAGATTATTAATTGATGAACTAGTCAATTACCTAGTTAGATATCATTTTTGAGTCAAGTTTTTGTGTTAATTATATGTTCAAAGTAGGCTTGGTCAACTCTAAAGAATTATAAACTTAATTAAATATGTCTCACCTAAGATCATTTTTTTTTAATAGCAGTGAAATGATATACAGATAGAACATAGCATAACTTCAAAATCAATTAATTTCAAATTGTATAAATTTCCATATATACCACTTAAGATTTTATTCAAAATAGAGCCTCACATTCTCATACATTGATGAGTTTGCACTTTGCAACAGGATGGATTACAAAAGAAAAGGACCCATAAGCAAAATTCTTTGTTAGTTCGAAGTTGGGTTGAGTGGGCTTGACCAGAACTCGCCTCACAAAAAATCGGGCTTTGTATTTGGGCCAGACCCCTACCTAACAATTTTGGTTCCTTCTGTTTCGGGGGTTTTATCCTGATCCGTTTCTTACAAATGTCGGTCCCCGATCTGACAAATGGACGGAAAGTGGACCCCAATTGGTCGGTTGATTACCTGCCCTACGAGACACGTGGCGGAAAAAGCAGTCCAATCGAAGAATTGGACGTTGGAGATTTCTTAAAAACCTCCCAACAGACAGCAGCTTATAAATAAGTGGAGGACCTTCTCCCCATAACCTGTGTCAATCGTTAGTTGGATATTTAGTGCTTCATTCTTATCTCCAAAAGATCTTCAGAAATTCTGTGTACTAATCCCACAGCACAGTATCAGCGTATACTTCCTTTTTCGGCGAAAGAAAGAGAGAAGAATGGGTGTTTTGGATCATGTTTCTGATTACTTCGACTGCTCCACTGGCAGGTCGAGGCACAAACACAAGCAGTTACAGGTACGTACTTTTCTCTCTTCATCTAATTGTTAAACTCCTGTACTCCTTTAATGGTAGATTGACAGAGCTTAGATTGAGATCAAACTATTCTGGAAAACATGTTAGTTTATTTCTCAATTGTTTCATTTCTTCATGTTAATTAGTTTCAGATCTCAAAATATTGTGAGATTGTTTGGAATTGATCTGGTAAATCGAGTTTGATAAATCCAAAACTGGCGGCGTAGAAAGATTCAACAAGGAATCTCATAAACTTTCCTGAAAGAAAAATAAATATTTGGAGAAATTTCCCGAATGGTTTTCGTCTAATGTCTGTTTTTACATCCTCCGTTCCTGGAAAACTTAACGCCTTATGCAGTCTGCGTTCTTACTTTTCAACTTCTACTGTGCTTGATTTTTCAATCAGCTTTGTGGGGGAAATGGAATCAGTCTTGAATCATGTCCTCATGTGTGTTTCCCCTTTGAAAATGGATAAGGGAACTAAACGACAAAAGCATCTACGAGATTATTCCTCCCTTCTTTCTGTACTTTTCCCAGCAGTAAATATCTGATCCAGTCAGTGATGGTGACTGACCTAATCTCTGACTTGGTCTATTATTGTTATCAGACGGTGGAGCTGAGGGTGAAGATAGACTGCGAAGGATGTGAGCATAAAGTGAAGAGGGCGTTGGAAGGTATGAAGGGGGTGAAGGAAGTGGAGGTAGAGCGCAAGGCTAACAAGGTGACGGTCTTCGGATACGTGGAGCCGTCGAAGGTGGTGGCGCGTGTGCAACATCGGACGGGCAAGAAGGCGGAGCTATGGCCCTACGTTCCTTACGACGTGGTGGGACATCCATATGCCCCTGGGGTTTACGACAAGAAGGCTCCGGCGGGGTACGTGCGAAATGCATATGATCAGCAAATGACACAACTCGCACGTGCTAGCTCAACTGAAGTGAGATACACCACCGCTTTCAGTGACGACAACCCCAACGCATGTGCTGTTATGTGATAATGACATTGTATATATCATCAATATTTATTATTTACCATAAACAGAAAAAAAAAAAAAGAAAAAAAAGAAAAGAGTTTATGGTAGTGTAATTGTGTATTAAAATTTTGAATTGTTTATTTGTTTAGGTTTTTCTTATGGAGAAAAAAAATTAGGAAGTTCGAATATATATATATATATATATATATGTTTGTGAATTGTACTGAATCTATTGATGTAGTTTGAACCTTTATAGTATTTGTGGAAATGATATTTGGTTCCTTTTTTGGGTAATTCTCTTTATGTAATTTTTTAAAAAAATTTTGGCTTAGGAACAACCGTACTACTATTAAAAATTAAACCATAGTCGATATCATAATATTTCAGATATATCAGGAAATTTTTTGGATATTTCTGGACCACTAATGAAAATTTTTTAGGATTTTTACTTAATTTTAAAATTGTTTGCGAAAAGAATTTTATATATTTAGAAAATTCATGAAAAACTTTGAGAATCATTTACAATATTTTATTTTGACCTTTATTTCTTTCCTTTTTTTGGGGCCATCACCTTTAGTTAATTATTTTAATGTTCCGGTGAATTTTTACTTGTGTTTTATTGCTTCAATTAAATTTAATTATTTAAATTCATAAAAGGTTGGCATATCACCCAAAAAAAAAAAACAATCTCAAATTTTTTTAAAAACAATTTAAAGATGAAATAGTATTAGCTTTTCTTTCTTTCCTTTTCTTTTTCTTTTTTTTTTTTTGTTCCCTTAAGTTTGACTAATCTTATGCCACAAGCAAAGTATTATATTTATAAATATCAAATAAAGTATATAAAATGTACTTTTAAAATGACATTAATATCCTAAAACATGGCAAACATATATTGGTGGGGATGGTTGCCTTTCCACCGCCCAAATGTTGAAGGAGACTTCTAAGAACTCTGCCTCGGATGAAGCCAGCAGCATTGCTCAGTCATCGATAACTTCAAGTCCCCAAGGTTACTTAATTCTTCAAATTACTATGATCTTGACAGGTTGAGCTTGACCCATGACCATTCTTTTCTTCCTTTTTATTTTTATTAATAAAACAAAAATGTTAGAATATTTGGGGTGGGAATGTGGATGCATATTGAGGTAAAGGAGCCGCCAGACCAGAACCACAGACCTTATCCACTAGGCCGAGACGTGGTCGGCGACCCATAACCATGGTTTTGTAAACTGTGCAAAAGAAAAAAAAAAAAAAAGAGAAAAGAAAAGTGAATATTAAAACATTTTAACTTCTTTTTTATAAAAAATATTTTAACATTTTAAATGTTAAAATTACTTATAAAATTATTTAAATATATTAATAGTTTTTTTATATAAGCATATTAATTTTTTTCGATCTTTAAAAAAAAAAAAATTGTTATCTGCACAAAAAATGTTCAAGTAAGCCGAACCCAAGAAATGGATTGCCTTGACGATCTCCGAAGTCAACCTCCAATTTGGGTTCTGAATATTCGGCCCATTTTAGTCTTTCTCTCCCTTAAAAAGGGAAAAAAAAAAAACTCGGCCCATCTGCTGTCTGCTGCAGCTGCACTCTACTTTTGGCGGGAAAAAACACCGGAGAAGCACGCAACTTCTTCCGCCGTTCCGCCTCAGAAATCAAAACGATACAGACAGAAACGAGTCTGGTACAGGAGATAGAGAGAAAGCATGGCGGACGATCCAGAAAACCCAGATCAAGTAGAGGAAGAGTTCTCCTTGTGCAAGAAAAACACTCCATTCCTCTACGATCTCGTCATCTCTCACCCTCTTGAATGGTCTTCTCTATCCGTTCATTGGGTCCCTCTCCCACCGGTTCCCTACACCGCCGACCTGGTTTTCGGTGTCCACAAGCTCGTCCTTAGGACGCACACGTCCGCCGTCGCCACAGATTTCCTTATGATTGCCGACGCGGTCCTCCCAACCCTCGATTCGGATTCAAACGTCGCTGGTAAAAATGAGGATCTGGTTATTCCTAAGGTTTGTGAGGGTTGGGTTCTATGTTTCTTGTGCTTTTTTTGCGCATTCAAGCATTGGGATGAAATGAAATAATGTGCTGGAAGGCGCTGAGTTATATTCAATTAGGGTCATTCTTCGTTCTAACGTTTGTGGATTGTAATTTCCAGTCGTGCTTCTAAGGTTTTCTTGGAGGTACTCTAAGTATTCGATAAATTTATGAGTTGAGACTTGAGAGTGTTGAGAACCGTTTTATTTTCCTTTTTCCGTAATGGGTGTCAGCCTGACGAAACTTAGTGGTTGAAAATGTTTGCAGGCACCAGCTGTTTGGCAAAATAACTAGCTGAAAATATTTGCAAGGTTATAATTAATTTGAGGGACTTTGGTACCTGTAACATTATTACCAGGTTTCCTTCTAAGAGGGATACTTTGATGTCAAGTTCATTAACTGAATTTCCCTTTTTTTTTTTTTACTGAAAGTTTTGTTCTGCTCCAGGTGGTTAATGTATTACATTTGCGCTTATTATTGCTATCAGATTGCCGAAAACACTATGTTCACTTTAGTTTTCAAGGGTTTTTTTTTTTTGGGTGAATACTCTTAGTATTTACTTTTGAATAGTGCTTTAAAGGGATGAATGACGATTATTGACAATTTTAACAAAATTACCAGCTCAAAGTGTCTCAACTTTTGTGCTTTGTTTGAGAAATTTTCAATATGGTTTTAGTGTTCTGATGAAACTAATTCCTTAGAGTTATATACTCACAGTTACCAGATGAACTGAGAAATCCTTTCTTTGTCATATCCCCTCTTAGTGGAATACTAACTGAAATTGTGTGGTTGATGGTAGGTGGAGGTTACTCAGAGAATGCGTGTTGGTGGTGAAGTGAATAGGGCCAGCTGTATGCTCCAGAAGCCAACTGTGATTGCTGCAAAGACCAGTGGCACTGAGATTTTTCTATTTGATTACTCCAAACGTGAGGAAAATCAGCAAGAAGATGAATGTGATCCTGAGTTGCGGTTGAGAGGTCATGACAAGGAAGGGTATGGATTATCTTGGAGTCCTTTTATGGAGGGTTATCTTCTTAGTGGTTCTCAAGATCTTAAGATATGCCTATGGGATGTGTCTGCACCCTGCAGCACCTCAAGATAAGGTGCTCAATGCAATGCATGTATATGAGGTAATTTCAGGTCTTTTACTCTTTGGTTAATTCCTCATAGGTGTAGGAAATACTATTACTCAACCTTGGTGATTTGATGTTTGATTCTGATATTTTATGAATGTTCTTTTAGGCTCATCAAAGTGTGGTTGAAGATGTGTCATGGCATTTGAAGAATGAGAATATATTCGGGTCTGCAGGAGATGATTGTCAATTGATGATTTGGGACTTGCGCACAAACCAAACACAAAATTGTTTCAAAGTTCATGAGAGAGGTGAATTCACCTTTATTCCATTTCAGTTGTATATTTAAATCTCCCGATCGTTTTAAAGTTCCAACCTAACATTTGGTCTTATCCTCCACGTTTACAAATAATTGTCTTAGAACAAGATGCAAAAGTACTTGAGGAGAAAATTATAGGGGCTGGACTTTTGAGAAATAAATAAAGAAAGAGGAAGAAAAAGAAAAAGAAAATGTTAATGTCAGTTAAAAAGAATCAGACATTTAAATGTTACTGGCTTCTCGATGTTACTCTGGTGTAGTCATTTCTATGCATTGCAAATCACTATATAAGTAATTGACTTGCATCTGATGCTCTAGAAAATAAACAAAAGTGTGATTCCATTTTCAACATATTGTTCTTTACGGTGCCATTGGTTGTCACAGAGAAACGTACACATTTTGTATAATTCTTTTTCATATCTCTTGATTTTTCCTTTATATAATTTCTTTCTTATAGAAATTTTCTTTCTTGGCCCAGATCAATTATTTGTCTTTCAATCCTTATAATGAATGGGTTCTCGCTACAGCATCTTCAGACTCTACCATTGATCTGTTTGATATGTGGAAGCTAACAGCACCAGTACATGTTTTAAGTAGTCACAAGTATGTATCCCCCTTGCTGATGGATTTTGAGTTTTATTTCTACAGATAGATGTTGTATTTTCTAACTTCCCTTGAGAATACTCAGGTCACCCTCTTCATCCCTTTTGGATAAGAGAAGAATAATGAAAATTGATAACCACTGTTCTCATTATCGTTTAGGACCTTTTATTTACATTTGGTGTTACGTACTGAATGAAACTATAACCTTATTGATTTTTTGCTCCAGCCTGACCTATTTTCTTTCTATATTATTGACTCAAGCAATCTCACAAAATACAGATGTACAGTAGTCATTGCCATTAATCCCTTAAAAATTATGCATCTGAAACTGAATAAACCATGTGCTAGTGCTCAACAAAAGTTCCTATTACTGAGTTGTTGGTTAAGTGCTTATCCACAGAGATAATACTAGGTAGTTGCCACAAATTGTCAGAAATTCTTGCCTCTATATGAGAGCTTGTTTTACACTGAAGTTACTGATTTGTACATTAGTCACCATGTGGAATGTTGTAAAATTACTTTTTAAGTTATCGGAACAACTTTGGATGAGTAAACTCTGGAACTTAGTAATGAAGAGTATGGTGCTCAAAAATCATTGTAAATTTGAAATAGCACTGAACTTACTATTGATTTTGTTTACGGCGGGGACGTTTTCCTGGTAGAATGGAATCCTAATCATGAGACAGTGTTGGCATCTTCTGGTGATGATAGAAGGTTGATGGTTTGGCGTTTGGGACCTCAACAGGTATTTAGTATCATATCAGACATTGATGCAGGCTTAGGAATAATTTCTATCATGTCATGTCATGGTATTTTTTCCAATATTTATTATCATTTAAAAAAGAATTTGATCCCATGAAGCTACGTGTACCAACTAGAGGCTTTACTTATGAAATTAGGTGATTGTTCTAAGATTTCAAATTTGCATTTGCCCCACTGATGCACTGTTGACTTCAGGATTGGTGAAGAGCAATTAGAAAGAGAGTTAGATGCTGAGGATGGCCCTCCAGAGCTTCTTTTTCTCATGGAGGCCACAAGGCAAAGATATCAGACTTCTCCTGGAACAAAAATTAACCATGGGTCATTTCAAGTGTTGCTGAGGATAACACTATTCACGTCCGGTAAATGGCAGAAAGCATTTATCGTGAAGATGATGACCTACAACCTCCTGATGAGTGATAACCATCCATAAACATACGGGATACGGTACACTACCGAACAAGCATTTTTTAATTTTTGACCACTTATCATACAATCATCTTTCCTAAAATCATCAGACGTTACAGCATCCAGTGGTCGATGTAGGATAAATTAAATGAGAGTGATGACCTACTAGTAAATTTTAAGTGGCACAAGTCAACTAAGAAAGCATCCCTCTTTTAAGTAATATAGATTATCATTGACATAATATGGTCCTTGAACCCTCATCAAAGGGAGCAGTTTGCAAAGATGCTTAGTGGACCACAGATTTTAACCTTCGGTAGTATCATAAAATTGAAAGGCAGGAATATATTTTTTTATCTAGAAAAAGGGTTTGACAACTTCCAAAAGTACCTAGCTTTTCCACTGGATACACATGGTTCCCCGGTTTGTCCCTCTTACGTAATATCATTGATTCCCAGCTTTAAGACATGTATTAATTTAAAATTGCACACCTAAACAATTTCTTCTTTTTTACAAAGTTTAAAGCCACACCTTTTATTGCTTCAATCATGGCAGGGAGGCTACAGCCACCAATCTCACAGGCAACATCAGTCCCGGCTCATAATTGGCAGCTCAGCCATTCATTTTCAGAACTCCTATATTAGGTTATTAACCAAAAACTCAGATAAAAGGCAGTGTGTCCTCACTGGCAGGCATCCAGCACCTTTAGTACGCAACAAAAAGGAGCAAACTTCCCACGTTATGTTGATGCAATGTGATATCAGAATCTGAATTGCTAAAAGACTATCCAAGGAAGCTAATTTTTTTAGCTTCCTATTCAAAGCAGAAGTTCTTGATGTAGGAATTGAAATCTATTTCTCACCTGTTATGGCTCAGTGTATCGAAACATCAAAGACATTTCACCTTCCCTAAATTCTGTAATTCAACAATGAAGAATTCATAGAGCTTAGAATGAGAGAACAGCTCCACACCAAAGCAAACTTCAAAGGAAAATCAGCAAAATAGTACACCAGTAATAGCACTTGGAGTAAGTGATATATAAGTTGCTGATTAATAAAGTAATGAATATGGGAAAACACCTTAATTGAGGTCATTATAGCTTTATAGGAAATCACAATATGGTCTCTGCTTTAAAGCTACCAAAAAACCCCAAAAGTTCCTAACATACTTTTGCTTGTAGAATTATGAGCAAAACTAATTGAACAAGTAACTAATAGCAGAAAATCCAACTAAAGTTGGGTTACAAAAATATGTCATAAAACTCTTCCACAAGAAGGGTAGAGAAAGGAAACAAGGAAAAGAAAAGGCGAAAATAAATAAATAAATAACACAGCGACCTGAAGGACAGTACAGCAGCTTTAGAAAACTAATTATTGGAAGAAAATATGTACTCCTGCAGAATAAGGATAACCCTGCAAGGTGCTCTTCAACCTGCTGTTGCCACAAAAGCCCCTTAAAAAAAACAAATATCATCATCAGAGTAACAAAATGCTAATACACAATAACTTACATACAACTAAAGTTAGTTCAGGAGGTTCATTGCCGAGCATAAGAGGAGATGAAGAATACAGCTCATGACATTCAAAACATGTTCAGATCAGTTTCAATTATAATCAAAAGGGCCTCAAACTGACCATTCCAAGTTATTAATAAGCAGATTATATCAATTGAAACAGACTAAACCAGGAGAAACAAGGCCATTTATACACTCTAGTAAAAAAAGACTCATAAAAACCAAAGTTAACATGTACAACAAAGCTGCTCCCAGTCCCACCTATAGAAAAAACTCCATTGGGACTCAGTATTTCCCTTAAATCTTCTCCAGTTCCTCTACTTACCTTCCTGAGCTTTTAATTACGAAGCAACAATTATCTGATATAATTGCAACAGGTTATAGACCTAAAGGGTCTTTGAAGCAAACCACTAGGGAAGATACATCTTCAAAGGAAAAAACTTCATATTTTACAGATTTCAAGCATAAATTTATTACCCACAAAGGAGGTGTAAAAGCTGATAATTTAAAATATATATATATATCTATATATCTATACCACATCCATCATAAACCGTGGAAAAAAAAAAGCTCACCTTTCCTCCTTTTGCCGCCAGAAGCATTGCCATTGGACCTTGCATTTCCAACTCCACATTGAGAAAGCTCCTTCCCTCCCATGTTCTGATTAGCAAAACACTGAAGATTGTCAAAGTCACAGCCACTCATTCCTTGTCCATTCAATGATGGACCTTCTCCTGCTTTCTCCTCCACTCCAGGGTGAAGGCAATAAACCTGCTCATTGCATTGAACGTTGCAAGGATTCATCACATATGCACCAGGAAAACTCATAGCAGGCGTGTTAACATTGGTGGGTTTCTGATAAGGAAATGAGCCAATTTCCCCTTCAATTCTTCCTCGGATGTCCACAAGCAAACACTTGAGCCTCGCAATCTCAGCCTCCAAAGCTGCCTGACCCTGCAATCTCTTCAACAACTGCTGGTTTATGGCCCTCAATTTTACAACCTCGTCCTCCAATGAGGCCGCCCGTGCCTTAACCTTCTGCCTGTACTTTCTAACAGCTTCTCGATTACCTAAGGGACGTTTCTTTGATTTCTGCTCAGTAGACTCGGCAGTGTCATCAGTGGCTGCCTTATCTTCATCTGGGGCAGGAACAATTTTGGTATGCACGTGAAAACAAGTGTGTGTATGGGATGAATCAGGGCCAGCTGGGTTGCAAGTATGTGCATGTGTGCAAGCATGAGCGTCCTTGAATAACTCTTCCATAAAATTGTCCACTGAGCAGCTGCTTGGAATCTCACCAATGTTATTGTTACCCAAAAACATTTCTTGATTCGAAAAATCAACCTCCCCGTCGTCCATTACAGGTAGACAAGGTGGAAACACTAGAATAATAGTGGATCAAAGAAAAATTTAGGATTTTTTTTATAAAAAATTTAGACTATAAATGCTACTCAGTACTGCTCTTGAAAGATCTTAGCCACACCGCAATAAGAAATTCTGAATATGAAGAAATCCTAATCACTAAAGAACGGAAACCAAGTGAAACCCTAAAATGCAAATACCAACCTGAGAAAAAAAGAGAACAAATTTAAGCAATTCCTCCGAAACCCAAGTCCGATTATAAATAAGTGACAGCAAATGAGAAAATTTTCAACCAAAAACTGAAATTGCAGAACTTTTACCATCTGGGGATGAAACTTACCCTGAAAACCAAATTGCACCACAAAATTCAAATCCCGGCAAACGCGAAGAACTCGATATGATCAAGGTTTAACAGAAACGGAGAAGAAGCGAACAACTGACTAAGAATTGCAGAAGAATGATACCATCAGAGACTTGAATTCGAAGCGGTAGAAGGCAAGGGCAAAAATACTAAATTATTATATATAAAAGGAAAGAGTCTTTGCTTAGAAGGAGAGGGACGGAGAAAGACCAATAACACGGCAAATAGATGGCAGCATTTCCATGGTGAAGGGAAAATTTAAACGCGGGGACCAATAGCTCCAGAGAATCCAGAGACCATTTTTTGAAAGTCGCTGATGGATGTCCCTCGGTCAAAATTTATAGGTAATTAAGTGGCTTATTAACTGTAAATAAAAAAATCATTCTTTTTGAATTTTTATTTGGATGCAATTGAGTTTTTATAAAAAATGAAAAATTTTATTAGTATTAGTTAAAAAAAAAAGAATAGGTGTTTGGATAAAAATTAATGAAGGGAAAAGATAAAAAAGAGGAAGGAATAGGAAATCAAGTAGAAGTGAAGGAAAAAAAATAATTGATGTTAATTTTATTTGAACCTATAAAAAAGAAAAGGAAAAGGAAAATGGAAGGTAATATTTTAATTTAATTAAAAAGTTTTCAAAAATAAAATAAATTATTTAAAACTTATTAATTAAAAAATAATATAAATATTTTATAAATTAAATTTTTTAAAAATAAAAAATTTTAAATATATAAAATCAATTCCTTAAAAAAATAGAAAAAGAATTTTATCTCTTTTCCCTTTATTAAAATTAATAACCTAAATATGGAAAAAAAGGTATCTCTTTCTCTTTCTCCTTTCCGTTCTTTTCAACTTTTTTTAATTCAAACTAAGGTTAAGGGATTAAGAAAAATTAAGAAAGTTTTAATAATTAAAATATTATGATTGCCGATAAATTAATACAAAAAAAATTTATAAAAATTATTTTACTAATAATTTTTACATTCAAAATAATGACAAAAACGTACTTTGAACTCCTTACCTTACTAAGTTTTAAGATTTTAGCTTCTCATTACATTTTTAACTTATCACCTTATTAGATTTTTAAGTTTTAATATCTTAATTTATACTAAAACACTTTTAACCCTTCACCTATTAAAATTGAAAAAAGTAACTCTCACTTTATAATATTTTATTAATTTTGTTAGTTGACTGTTAATTCTGTCAATTGACTGTTAATTCTATTAATTAATTGTCAATTGACTATTAACTAACAAAAATTTTCTTTCAACTAACAGAGTTAATAAAATTAATTTTATAATATTTCGTTAATTCTGTTAATTAGTTATTAATTGATTGTTAATTGATAAAAACTTACTTTCATCTAACATGATTAACAATCAATATAAAGTAATGATTATTTTTTTAGATTTTAATAAGTGAAGGGTTAAAACTTATAAATCTAGTAAGGTAAGAGGCTAAAAGTGTCTTAATATAAGATGAGAGATTAAAATTTCAATCTTCAAACTTAATAAAATAAAAAGCTAAAAGTAAGTTTTTACCCAAAATAACTTAGATTTTGATGTTCGCTTTTTCCTTGTAATTAATGCAGCTTACCATCCTCGTTAATAACGGACTAGGGCAGGCAATCTAACCATCCTCTTCAACTATCCAGTTACTACTGTACTACTTCGCCAAACAAATCTTTAAAGCCAGATTGTGAGGAAAGAAAATCCGGAACAAATCCCCATGATCAGAGAAGGATTCTAATCCACCCCAAAAAAAAATTCAAGGTATGGCGGCCGAGGACCGCTGCCTCCCCCTCATAATGATCAGTGCCGTCACCCGCTGCCTCTGGTCCGCAGTCTCCGTCCTTGTGCTAAAACTCAGTAACCTCCAGCAGCCTGATGATCTTATCCCATTTGCAGCGTAGAAGCATCGCTGGGATAATTTTCCAACTTAATTTTGTGTACTGTATTTAATTGTTGTTATTCGCCTTATTTATATATATTTTTTGAACAAATTCATAAAAAATTAGATTCAAATCATTGTCTTAAAAATAAAAAAAATACTTATACGTTATTTAACGTACTTGGTCGAAGGCGAAAGTGCGTCTTATTTAGACTTTTGAACCTACTTGCATGTGTACATGACATCAATCAATTAAAAAAAAAAATTCAAAACTTGCTTGAAGCAGAATCCTAGAGACTTTATGATTTTCATAGCACTTGAGTTGAATGGTGGTCCAGTTTTTTTGTCGATATAGTTGAATTTTGATTAACAAAGGTTTTGTTGGGCAGTGTTATGTTATATTGTACTTGTAGATTTTTTTTTATTTTTTTATTTGAAATATATAAAATATTAATTAAAAGATAATAATGCATATCAACAATGATAATTAAGTAAAAAAATAAAATATTAACTTTAAAAATATTATTATTTAATAAATATTTTTAAAAATTAATTATCAGATTTATTTTTTATTGATATAATTAAATTATAAATATCAATTTTTATATTGATTAAATATATCTAACTAATTTATTAATTATATAAAATTTAACACTATTAAATATATATTAAAAATACAAGTTTTTTGACCATATGATTATAAATATTATATCAACTTGAAAATTAATATACATAATTATATTAATAGAACATTCAATTTATAGTCGATTTTTTAAAAATATTCAAAAATATTCATTATAAGGTGGTATTTTTAAAATTATGATTCTAATTTTTTTAATAAGATTTGGGACTGTTATATGCTATTTTCTAATTAAATTTTAATAAAAGTATATAAAAAATTAATTAAGATTTTAAATTTATATTTTTAAATAAGTTATTATGTAAAAAAAGTCTGTGCAAAATACTAATAAATGAAGTCTAAGTCAATATTGGATGTTTAGGAAGAATAGCTTACATATTTAAGCTTTGTAAAATAAATTAAGAAAATATTTTTTTACAAAATTCACAACAAATTACTTGTTCATGTAAGTTGTAACAAGAAGATGCTGATTTTTTTTTGTTATTATGCAATGAATATTGAATCGGGTATTTAAACTTAATGGTTCGATCCCAAACTTTAAGTGTTTGGGTGAAGTGATCAGAGTTTCGAACTCTACTACCGTCGCGCCTCATTTAAGGGGGTGAAATGTTCTGGGATTGAATACTATATGCTTACAACTTTATTTTATAGACATATGTAAACTCATTATATTTTGATGTAATGATGATAGTTATTCAATCAATAAACTATGACCTACAAAATAAGTTTTTCATGAAAGATTAAAATTAAATGTACGTTTAGTTTGAGAAAAATAAATTATTTTAATTAAATAAAGAATTTTCCTCATCCCCTCCGACCATTTAATTTCTCTAAATGCATTTTTGACAATAAAACTAATTATTCTCCAATTAGTTATCCCATTTTTGTATTTCCCCCTAATTTTCGGATTTAATATATAAACACAATTTTTTTATTAATCAAAATCCCATGAGTAAACTCAAAAAATGTGAAATGAATGCTTTAAATAAAAGGCAAAACCAAACATCAAAAAAATAATAATAATAAAAGGCAAAACTGGCGGGAAACACATGAAGAAGCTGAAGGAATTTTCCAGAAACAAAAACAAATTAAAATCAGCCTAGATTTATTGGGTCTATCTCAGTCGTAGAACAAGAATCCTCTGTTTCTCTTTCGTACTTCAAAAAACTCTGCGCATTATTGGGTTGATCACATTTTGATTTTAGTAGGTTTTTCTAGTTAATTTTGTGGTGGTTGTTCTTGTTCAATGTCACGGTGCTTGCCGTTTCCTCCACCGGGGTATGCCCGGAACGGTGTCACCGGCGAGGCTCTTCTACAACTAATTAAGGTCCGTTTTGAGTGTATTTTTTATGCTCATTTTTATTTTAAGATTTTGATTAATATTAGTTTTATAGAGTTCCAAAATTTGATCTTGATCATTGTTTTTCCTTCCTTAGACCATTACATTTAGTTGGTGAAAGATTCATACTTTTTTGTGGGCACAAATTGTTCTTTTATAGGTTGTTAATGCAATTAAATCAGTTTGATTTCCCACCCAAAACTAGAAATCTGAGAAAATAACAAGCTTTGGAATGCATATTTGAATTTGGGGGTTCTTCATAATTTTGTGATTGTGACGGTCTTATATTTCATAATAAATCATGGGTTTTTTTTTTTCCCCTCATAAGTTCATGAAATACACACTAGTTTTGTTATTGTTCGAGGTTCATTATTCTTATGTATGTTATAGGTCAGGAGAGAAGAAGCGAAGGCTGAAAGGAAAAGGAAGAAAAAGGAAAGGAGGAGAAAGAGGATGGAAGAATTGGAGGAAGGAGAGATTTTGCAGAAAAAGCACAAGAGGAGCAAGAAAAGCCAAATAGAACTTGAAACACTGGCATTGGCGAGGAGTTGTGTCATTGAAGATCTTAGGCAACCTATGTTTGTCTGTCCATTTGACTCTTATGGCAACAGCCAAAGCACTGGATGGAATAACCACAGCTGGTACGGCTATGGCTGCCACAGTCATGGTGGGTAAATTTTCATTGTCATACTTTACATATTTTCTGGTTGTTCTCTGATCTTTGTAGATACTGATATTAGAATCTATCCATTTTACTTCTTAGGAAGCACTGCTTGGGTTGATTTCCATATGGTTTCATCATCCATCTATTCTGAAGGCAGTTTGAAGCACAGAGAATCACAATTTGGAGAGCACTGGATTCCTGATCCCCTGCAGGTTGCAGACTTTGAGTTTGAAGATCAAAACTGGCTTTTTAGAAGGAAGCAGCCTAATTACATGAGGGAGGCATCTAATACAAGGAGTTTTGGTTCGTGTCATGGAAACTTGACTCTTTACCCACATGCCAAGTACTTCTCCCATGCTGATATTTATGCTTATCCATATGCAATACCATACTAAAACTGTCACTAGGAACATATCAGCAGTATATAAGTTTAAGATGATTTCAGTTGCTACGTTTAGTCCTGTTCCTTTGATTCTCATAATTGCGTCTATAATCAGAATGAGAAAGGTTTTACAGTATACACCCCATGGAATATGTTCTGCTTTAGGATTTGTAATAATCTGTCCATATATAGGAATTAATCTTGTTGTAGCTTTGTTTCAACTATTAATATCAACTGTCCTGTTTTTTTCCTACTCTTTGAGTGATTCCTTCCGTTCATAACTTTGTGCAACAAACAATGAGATCGTTATAAGTTAAATATTACTATATTACCATTTAACAAAATCTAAATCTACAAACACCTCAGCATGGGGGTGCAGTTTCTCTCTTCCATTTTTTCTCAACGGTATCGGTTCAAACATATTCAGTACCCCTACTTTTCGTAGCAATTCGGTTGTGAAACAAAAAGAAGCTAGTCAAAGCTTGATGACCTGCTCCATCTTTCTTTCAAGTATTCCTCATTGGAGAGATTAGTACTTTGCCCCATGCTACTAAATGATGTAGAATCATCATCAACATCGAGCAATGCAAGGCCTAAATGTAACTCTTTGCTTGAATTTGGATAAACTTCGTCATCATTTTCATCATCTTGGTTTTCTGTGTTCTCATTTGGTAAGTTGATCCACTTTTCAACATCTTGATCCCCTCTTAAGAGCTTCAGTATCTGGAAAAAGTGGGATGATAGAGATGTCAAGGGATTTTTGTGCTGATGCCTGATAGTTTTTACTAGCAATGGCCAAAGAGTTATTTGTAGAACATGAAAATGAATGCGATATTAGTACCTCACTTATCTTAGGTCGAAGCCTAGAGGATTGACTTAAGCAAAGGTTTGCTGCAAGAACCATTCGTTGGATTTGAAGCTCATTGATGTTTTTGTCCAAGTCAGCATCCAGTATGCCTTTGATATTCCCACTCTCTATAATTGGCTTTGCCTGAAATCAAAGTATTTCAGTGTAATCATGGACATAATAA